GAGACCAACTCGAGTTGCAACCAGAGTCACAGAACGGATTAAGTTCGTAACTAGAGGTACCACTGTAATCTAGAGCAAGGGTGGACAGACTTTGAGAGGTCAGGGTTGCAAGACTGGAAAACCCCAGAACTGTAGTCCCAAATGCTGCCTTAGCAGGTTTGTTTAGGATTTCAAGGTCTCCATTATAGTTATGGGTCCATCTCGAACACTTACCATTCCCATGCATACAGTGGAGAGCACCCTCAATTTAGTTTTTGCCTCAGCTTGAGAAGTGGCCTGGATATTAGGGAAGTTATAGTTACTCCAGTGTCATGGCTAGACCACCTCATGGTGAAGATTAGATCCAAAGGCTTTTACCAACTACCACAGTCACAAATAGCCAGAGGACGGTGTCTGCAGTGTAGGTGTCCCTGGCAGAGACCAGTTATCTTCATGCTTTGCTGTCTCAGTTCAGGACCTGATTTTGGGATAGAATCATGTATGATCATCCTGATAGATGACCTCCTGTGGGAAATGAATAGCTCTTGCTTGATCTCCCAGTAGCTTTTGATGCTTACTGGCCACATGTGGGTATACCTTTTCCTTGGTCTGGTATCCGCAGCTGGTGCAGAATACAGCAGCCAAGTTGCCAAGAGAAGAATCTGGCTATATACTTTTTTACATCTTTATTGAAACAATTGCACTGGTTACCAGTTAGCTCCTAAATCAGATTCATTGTTTATATTCTTAGTTATATTTCATCATTAAAAGGCCCTAAACAACTTGAAACCAGGTGACCTTAGGATTGCATGTAAAGTCCTGTTATGTGTACAGAGAACTGGTGAATGCCAAATGACAGCTGCTCTCAGGCAGGTCTCCTCTTTGGTGATGCCAGCATCCTGGAATACTCTTCCCCTTGAAATTCAGGAAACATCTAGTATTTTAGGTACCTGTTAAAAACTGACTTCTTCATCCAGACCTTCCCTATGTGAATCTTGGAAGAATATTGCTGTCCCCATTTCAATGAATGTGCTTTATTGAGTAGTGTTTTGTATTGTTCTAATGTATTCTTTTTGTATGTATTTTACTGTAAACCATTTCATGATGTTTCACCATAGGAAGCAATATATAAATATCTTGCAGGGGGAGGTTGTACTTGTCCGCATAAGGCTTGTCCCCTGACCTGCCCAATGTCTTTACAATTAATGTTAATTGATTGATCGACGAAAAAAGGACTCCCAGTTAATTGAACAACATTGTTGAACATTGCAACATTTTAAATCAGTGCACTTTAATGGGGGGGGGGAGGGCTCATATTCATTCTGTTTAAATAAACCAGTAACATTTGTCCCTTCTTTCTTTCAACAGAACTTGTGATCAGTTACGTTGCACTGCATGTGACTTTCGTGTTTTGCATTATAATGACTATCAGTGGGATAAATCATGTGATTACCTCTTTTTTAGGTATGCATTATGGACAATATTATCAGGAGTTCTAAGTGTATTCCCATTGGAAGTGTATTGGTAGATTATGCCAAATTATTTTTTGATAGAACAGATATTTTTAGCATAGATGTTTTCCCTTCTCCCAAAGCTATTTGGGAGAATAAATGAAAGTTTTGATTGTGATTCTCATTTCATGTCAAGTATGTTTCTGGCCATTTGCAATCCTAAACACATTTACTAGAGACTAAATTCCATCAAGAGAGAGAGAGATTTTTAAGTGTATGTGATTATGATTGAATCATAAATACACAGAGAAGCTGTTCCTATAATACAATGTCAAAATTATGCCTGTATAATGGCATGGGGTTATTTTTTAATTTTTTTATATGCAGCACCTGGTAAAGAGCTGAACTTTTCCACTTTCAGAATATCTGGTGTAAAATATTGATTCAGTAGTTTTCCATTGAAGAAACAAGGGAAGGATTTTGGTCTTCATCGGGGTGGTGAAGCTGTTGGCCATACTACCTAGGACTGTTGTGAGTTGCAGTTCAGCAGCATCTAAAGGTCTCGTCTGCCTTGCAAAAAAGAGCAGGTCCCTTCCCATCGCAGCTCCTTTGCATGCATAAACACACACGCCACCAGTACTACTTCTGTACAGTAACAATCTTTCCAGAATCAACTTAGTAGTCAGAAGTTGACAGACACTGGAGATTCACACCCACTGTGTGAATGAAAGTGCTTCTACTCAGTGGCTCTCTTATTCTAAGCAATGATACTTTAAAACCATTCCAGAACCTCAGTTGAAATAAAATGTTCTTAATTCTTAGGAATAACATGCCTGAATTCAGCAAATTGAAAACAAAGATGCTAATGAAGAAGGGGTCACGAGCCTATGCCTGCCAATGCACTTGGAGATCTATAGATGAATTAACAGATCTCACTATGGACCGACAGCTCCGTTGGGTTTGTAGCAAACATATTGGCTGATGTTGGCTTGTTTTCTGCAGTATTCATGTCTGTATGAAAATCATCTGTTCATTGCTCGGCATCATGTAGGATACACTGAGGATGCTCTGTGTAGATCTTACTGTTCCAGTATAAAGTGAGCACTTTGCATTATGAACTCACTAATTTGGCTATAACTGTCCAAAGGCTTAACATCTAATTGCTTATAGAACCAAGCTAGCAAAATTGTTTTCATTAAATGTTACACTGGTAAAGGTCTTTGGATTTGACAGCTCCTTCCACTAACACCAATAAAAGAATAATAAAACTGAAAAGAAAATGCTTCCCAGAAAAGACATGTGAAAATCTTATTCTTTGACTAGAGCACTAGCTTAATATGGTTAGTAATCTGTTATGGTGTCTGAAATATAAAATATTTAGGCACTTAATATATTTTGATGGAGATTCTGATAATTCTGCTCTTATCCGGCTGTTGTTATAGTCAAATTAATGCAAACTTACAGCAGTATTATCTTAAACCTTGTATGAGAAGCTGAATTATGCAATTAGAATAGCAGGCTAGTTCAAACTGACAAAGAAAAAGACACTGCAGCTCCAAAATTCTGAAAAACATAATTACTAGTTACAAACCATATTCATAATGCCGTTTCAATGCATACACACATGGAAGTAAACCCCACTGGCACTTGCTTCCAAGTAAATATGCATTGAATTGGGCTGTACACTGTTTATTTTCATCTCTGGTCATCTTGCAGAGTTTTTCCAATAATGAGCATCATTAGGAGCCAGAAAGTTTTCTGAATTAATATTTTGAATCAACTGTGCTTCTTTGTGAAAGGCACAAGTATACATAAAATTAGATGGAGGGTGTCTTCATCTTTCAATCACTGCACAGCATTTAAGCTAATCAGAAAATGGTCAAATGCCTTTTTTATTGTCGTTGTTGGCACATTTGAGTGTTTTGTTTAAATCCTAAAATCAAAATATTATATAAAGGTTGTCCTGACTTATTGTATCTGTTTTCCTCTTCTGGTCATATCATGATTTGCTAAGTTGTATTGACCAAATATGTCCAAAATGTAATTCTTGTTTATATTTAATTTTTCCAACCTGTAATATGTCCAACCAATAATATGTTTAGTAATTTTTCTGTAGCACTGAAAATTTAGAAATGGATTGTAGTTTAAAGATTTATAACAGGTCAGTAGTAAACAATATGACTGAAATAACAGCATGCTAAAATAATAACTATAGTTCATTACTTTATCAGAAACACATTACACACAAATAGGTGCCGTTGATTTCCGTTTTTTATAATGTGGAATATGATTAGAATTATAATACAAACAATTTTGGTATTATTATGCAAAAAATAATACAGATAAAATAATCTGTTTAGAATCATAATGCAAATAAATTCATAGCTAAGCCTGTATAACATGGAAATCAATCCCTGCTCAGATTTTTTCTGTAATGCTATAATCATTAAAACATTATGTTCTTGGCATTTCTGAGTAAAATTATTATATTTCATATATCAGTTGCTCAGTGCAATTCTGGTTATTGGTCCTGATGATATGGTATTACTTAGTTAATAAATGTGAAACTTGTGGAGCATTTTACAAGAAAGTACTATATAACTGCACTATTGTTAATAATAATAAATAGTAATAGCAGGTGAGTTGGGGAATATAGATACTAACATTCTTTGAATGTGTTGATCACTCAGTTGGACCATTCATATTGGCTGTTGAGTAGATGTTTCTTGAAAGCTAGTATGATGGCTGTGCGGTATGTAGCAACTTACTTCCACTGATACCTCATATGTAAGTATATGTATGCGTACACTAACCTCTATGTACAGTATGTGGATAATAATGGCTTAGCTTACAGTGAAGATCCTTAGATTATGTATGTTAACCACACTGAATTTATTCCTTATAAGTATGCATCGAATTCTCTTGTTATTCTTCAAGCTCAGTTGTTTGATAATAGCAGATAGCTTGTAATCAAATATCAGCTGTCTTTTGAAGAACCTGTCAGTTACATTATCAGTTTGAATGCCTTCATTATGCTATACCTCAGGCCAAATACAGTTTATTTGTGTGGTAACAATATACAATTCTGACTCTGTCCTGTTTTCTTTGATCCCTTCATATACAGGGTAGGCATGTGTTGTTTTTTTAGGCAGTGGGCTGTACATTTCTCTCTCTTATGTTAATTTTGGACAAAAAAAAAATCAGATATCAGAGCAGGATCCCTTTTTGTTTTGGGGGGGTTAGGTGAAAGGATTAACTAGATTTTGATAGACCTATTTTCCTTTTTTTTTAAGCACACTGAACAGATGGAAATTGCAATATTGAAAGTCAGCAGTTTTGCTGCCAAAGGTGGGGTGAAGGGAGAGATAGATTGGTTATGCAGATGAAGGTTACATGTGAGACAGCTTACAAGTACTTAATTCAATTAACAATTGAAATTCCAT